AGCTTCTGGTTCTCTCTTTTGATTTTATATTGTCATGGCCTCATTGATTTTGTTTTCAGGAGTTCCACAGTGGCCCAATTCCAATGTGGGTCAGAAGGTTTCAGACTTTCTCCTTAGGTCTGGAATCTTTTAAGAATGATTTTCGCCTCAGGAACTTGGGTGTTGGACTGACCTGAGACCCTGGCCATGGCTGCAACATGCAGGGATGTAAAGGCAGATGGGGTGGGAAGAAGCCCCAAGATTTCCCAGGGAGTGGATTGAGTATCTGGGTTGTACTGGATGCAAAGCATCAGGGAGAGGAAAGGTAAGCCTCGGAGTCCCAGAAAGAGGCTGTCAGCCCCCAGAAAGAGGCTGGCAAGTGTTGCAGGACCAGGGAAGCAGAGAGAGGTGAGGGTGGGGGCCAGGTCCAGAAGTGGTGCTTCTGGGGCCCAAGAAAGGCTCTAAGTTGATCTGGGTGAAAAGCATCAGGAAGCAGTATTGGTTCCCAGGTGTCTGTGGCCCCAAGACTAGGAATGGCGCAGGGCCCAAACTAGGAGTAGAGAACAGTGGGGGAGATGGAAGGGTGAATGTGGCTTGGGGAGTCAAGGAGCGGAGGGCTGTGCTATAGACTTACCCCAAGAGGCCTGAGGATAGGAGTCAAAAATATTTTTTAAGACAGGAAAGCATTAATGATGTGGAACAGTCATTGATTACTTTTCTTATCCAGATAGGCCTTGATAAAGAGCAACTAGTAGCAAAAGGTGTGAAACAAAACCAGTGGAGTAACAACTGTTAAAAAATTTTATAGAAGAAAAAAATTCCAAAAAAATTTAAAGTTCCAGACCAGGGAAGTGATAAAAAAATCATTGTAATTGAAACAGAGAAACTTCCTATCTGTGCAAGGACAATAAGAAAGATGCTGTGAAGCAAGATTCTGTCCATCTTAGGTTTCAAATTATGAAAATACATACTCACCTGAAAGTACAGAACCTAAGTGCAGAATGTGTACGAAGCGGCTCCCTTTGCCTGGAAAGCAAAGACAGCATTTCCCACAGCCAGAACACAGAAGCTTGCTTCTGTGTTCTAGAAGGGTCAGGCTCTGTCTCAGGGTGGTAGCAGAAGTTGGCACATTTAAACTCAGTATAAATATTTTCTTGGGTGACACAAGTGCACCTATCTACATGCAGGCAATGCACTCATGCAACTAGTTGGTGGTAGTTTAGTAAGCAGAGGCAAGACTGAGGATGTTATAGAATCTTCCAGTACCATTTCAGGGTGCCCAAGGCCACATTATATATGGCAGAGTTGGAGTTCCTGAAAGACAGCCTTGGGAGGACCCTGCATAAAGCTGGGGATGTGAAGCCAAAGTTGCAGTAGAAATCCCAGAATGTTGCAGAAGGTAGAACCTTGGGGTGTCTGCTGAGGAAAGCAATGTTTGCAGTGTGCAACCAGCTCAAGAGAGAGGCTATGTGCCTCAGTAAGCAGAGCTGGGGCTATGGATATCATGAGGTTATTATCCCAAGTGATTTCATCCTGAATCCTAGATGGAGGGAGCTGCAATATTTGATATTTTCTGTCCTATGTTTTAGTCCTCTTTTGTCCTGATCATTCCTTGCTATAGCCAAGATGAATGGTGATTCTGTACCACTGTACATTAAAAGTATGTCATTCATTCTATTTTACGCTATAAGGGCTCCGAGATAGGACATTTTATCGAGTCTCAGAAGACTTTATACTTTTGGATAGTATTGAGATGGTTAAAGATAATAGGGAAGTGGATTGAATGAATGAAATTTTGCATTGTGACTTGAGCATAAGCTATTGAGGGCTATAGGCAGAATGTTATCCTTTGAAGTTAAAAATTTCCCCAATAAGTTCATATGTTTGAATACTTGCTTGATAGTCTGTATGCTACTTAGGGAAGCTTGTGGAACATTTTGGAGGTAGAGCCTTACTGAAAGAAGTGTGTCTTGGTGGGCAGACATTGAAGTATTCCAGGCTAATCCTACTTTATTTCTCTCTTTGTGACTATGGATGCAATGTGGCCAGCAACCTTCCATTCCTGCTCCCGTGCTTTCCCTGTGTCACCTTGAAATGAGGGGAGACCCACTTTTCAACTTCCAGGATGCTTCTTTACAAGTATTTTGTCACTGCAGCAAGAAAATTAACCAATAGTGGAGGAGAGGAAAAGTAAACCAGAGGAAAGAGGATGGGAGGAGAATGGAGCAGACAAGCGGTTAAATGGTTAATATAGCCTGTCACCTTCACAAGATCTAGACTCATTCAGGGAGTAAACCTCTGGACACCTCTAGAGGAATTACATAGATTAGGTCAGCTTCTAGACAATCCTGTGAGGGATTTTCTTGATTAGGTTAACGAAAATATAAAAACACCCTAAGTATGTACAGCAACTTCCAGTAGCAACAGTCTCTATATGAGGAAGTCAGAGACAAATGCTTCTGCTTTTGCCTGCTTATCTTTGTGTCTTGCTGGTGAGTTCATCAACTCTGTTGCTGCTGTTTTTGCTGCCATCCATTGCTAATATCAAAACCTAGGTTCTTTAGCTATCCAGTGTATACTACAATCCAATGGCTCTCCCAAACTTTCCAGGATTTCAGTGCCAGATTGGGGCTAATGAGGCATTTTGCCATGTGGACTGAACAATTACCGGTTTTCATCCTCACTGATGTCAATAAAGCCACTTTTGTACTGCCCAGACTGTATCATTAATGCCCTATAATAAACACCCTTTGAACATATATTTATTTAACTGATCCTCCTGTTCTAGAGCTTTCTGACTATCACAGGGTAGAAAGTAGTGAGCAAAGGATCTAAAGGTAGAGGGAAAAGGTAGGGAAGGGAGGAGGAAAATGGAAAGGTGGAACAAAGGATGGGGAAAATAGGAGACAAGAGGGACTGATTCCAAGGAAGGAGTCAAAGATTTGGTGCAGAATGACGACAGAAATGCTTGCTAATTAGATTCAAGGCAACGGTAGAGAAAGAAAGAGTCAAAGTAGACTGTGTTATTTAAACTTTTGGTGAACAGAATAATGAACTGTCTTAGTCACTTACAGAGCATTGAGGGGAAAACTGGTTTGGAATTAAAGAACTATTACAGGGTGTCCTGAGCTAGAGGTATCACATTTAAACCCACAGAAGTAAAACCATGGGTTTGAAGGGCAGACACGAAGAGGTGTGAGGATGGCTCAGTGTCGAAGTGCACTTGTCAGCAAGCAGGAGGGCAAGATTTTCAACTGCCAGCCCTCATGTATTTCTGACACAGCCCTGAGTAACTATAGCCTCAGCATTTGGAGTCAAACCTGGAGGCACCTAGGAGCTCCTGGCCAACTAGATTGGTCAATATATCAGTTTCATGTTCTCTGAAATTGGATAAGTTGGAGAGTGATAGAACAGGTTAATGACTTCCTTCCCTGACCTCAAAACATAGACAAATGGGAGTATATACCCAAGACACACATACACACACATACAACACACATTAAAAATAAGTAGTTATATGGAAAGATGCAGATATGGTTGGGCATTGCTAATTTTAGGAATGACACAAAACTTGTAATATTAATTGAGCAAGGATACCAAACATAAAGATGCTATCCCTTGACATTTGCTGTGTACATCCAATGAACACTGGCTATATTATCAGGGTTCAAACAAACATCTTGCCAGATGACAAGGTAACAAAAATAATTTAAATGTACAGACTTAACTTTCTACAAAATCTATTGATTATATAAATGATGGCAAAGGAATAAGAAAGAGAAAAGAAGGCGGAATCTTCAATACGGAGAAATCACTCAGTATCTGAGAACTGCTTTCAGAATTGTGTAGGGAGGAAATGGAAAGTACAGCCATATGTGTCTATTAGAAAAAAGAGCAGAGAAACATGACTACAGGAGGTGCCAGGATGCTGATCTGGTAAAGAGCTGAGAAAGTTACAGAATGAAGTTTTTATATGATCTTCACACTTTATCATTCCAAATGCTAAAATGTAATAGTTTAGAACTTGACTTTTAGAGTAAGGTAAGATACACTTTTAAAATCCTGACCTGTTCAGCAATACGAACTCTGGAATGTAACCCACAGTTTAACTCAATTATGCTCAAAAGTAACCTCTGAGATTGTAACTTATTAATAGAAACTAGAAAAGTAAATTGTGTTTCTAAGAGTTATCATAAGCATACAAGTTAAGCCAAATAATGCTATTATCCTAGTGCATGGTTACAGAGAAATATAAATATGCTTAACTGATGAAATGCTGTTATCACTGCATTATAGTGTTAGTGCTGTTATAAGCACATGTTCTGTTCCCACTTTCAGTGTAATCACTTTGATATTCTGTCATTCTATTCCATTTTCCAATGTGTAAACATCTTCTCTGCTTATCAGAAATATTTTTATATGGCCAAAGAGAGCAAATGGGAATAAAAAGGAATCTTACCCAATTCTGCTGCATATTTCTTATGATTTTTCCCTTTTTCATTCTTTCTTTTCTTCTGTCTTCCTCCACACCAGCACTCTATCTTTCCCTTTGTAGGATTTCTGGCACATTCGTATTGGTTTTGACATACAAGTCTCTTCACTGCCTCATCAATTAATGTTGAGCTGTTCTTTTAACCAAATTTTACCAGTGCCTTTAGTATACTATTAAAACAATATATAACTTGCAGTCACAATTTAAGGAATTTTGTTAGCACAACTGAAGACATACAAACATATAATATCCTTCTACTAAGTACCAGATATCATCACATATTTTCTCATTTCTTCCTAATTTTCACCTCACATAAGCAATCTAAAGGGTTGGAAACCCTGTAGATTAGACTTTGAAAAAAAGAAATAATATTTCTCTCTTGTGGAGAAAATCTACAAAAAAACCCTTGATGTCTTTGGAATTCAGAATGACAGAACTGAAGGTTGACAAGATGGAACATCAGGTAAACGTCCTTTCACCCACGGGGACTCAAGTTCAATCTGTTAGACCCATTTCCTAGGAAAGAATTGACTTCTGTAGGTTGTCCTCCCACCTCCACACTTTCATTGTAGCATGCTTTTGCCCAGAGATACACACACACACACACACACACACACACACACACACACACACACACACACACACACACACACACACACACACTAAATGAAACCATATAAAACTGAAATGCTTCCATTACTTCCTGAAAGAATAATCCTTAAAGAAGATGTCATAGTTACAAATATAAATACTGTTTTGCATATATGTTCTGAATTGGAGCTCTGGTTTCAGATCCACAGCTCATCTTTTAATTGGGTCATTTGTTTTCTTGATTCTTTATTCTCTGAGGTATTTGTACATTCTGGGTAGTAATCCTCTGTCAGATGTGTAGCTGGTATTTTCTACCACTCAATGGACTTCCTCTTTGCTATTGCTGAAAACAGAACACACTTCATACACAGGACTTGGAGCAATGAAGCTGGAACTGAAGTGGAAGCCTCATCCCTGAAGATGAATTCACATAGCTCTGGAGGACACTATGCAAGATGCTAATGGATAAAATCATTCAGTGGCCCAACCCCAGCTTCAAAGCCTAATAACCACAACAATGACTGACACAGCACTCTATCTTTATTGGTACAGTAGTGGCACTTTTATCTGGGTGGTAATCAACAGCTATCTAATTGGACTTAAAGCCTGCTCAATTGGAGGAAACGCATACATGGTATTATAAACAAGGCAAATACACATGAACAGAGAGATTATAGATCCTAGAGAAATACATATGACTGTCACATTCCTATAGAAAAGTTATTTCTTACTATGCTATATACATATATTTGATCTTACAAAAGTATACCTCTGACCACTCATGAAAAAAGTTTCTTTCTGCAACAGACTATTACAAAGTTCCATAACTGGTCAAACACAGAGAATAAGTGTCTATGAGATATCAAACCCTATGTGAAACATCTACAATGGAACCTCTGCACCTAAAGCTTACAAACCACAGCAGAGCAAGGGGTAGAGAGAGTGTTAATGTATCTCCCAACACTCATCAGTGAGTCACTCCTCATTCAACACAGGGCAACAAACACAAAAGGCCACAAATGGCCAAAGTGAAAAAATAAGAAACTACAGACTGTGTGTCCCTGGATCAGACTCCTATATCAAACCTCCGCCACACGGGATTCAGGGTCCCTTGTAGAAGAGGGGGCAGAAAGACTATAAGAGCCAGGGGTGGTGAATGACCACAATGAAACAGTTTTCCAGGGGCTGGGAATTAGCTCATAATAACTGACAGCATAAGTATCGGAGCTTGACTTCCAAGGACCCATGTAACTGCCAACATGGTCATACATGCCTGTTAACCTTGCATGGCTTGCTAGTGTAGCCATGAAGACAAGCTTCAAGCACAGAGAGCAATCCTGAGGTGCATAATCAGAGAGTGATAGAGCAAGATATGAAACTTCATCTCTGGCTTCAACACATGCAAACATGAGCATGCACACATACAGACACGTGCACAGAAATAACAGTCTACCCCACACACAAACACTAAAATATGTTGATATGAAGAGAGAAGCAAAGAGTGTTAGGAGTTTTTAACATAGCAATCACAGTTCTAGGAATGGTAAACAGAACTTTTGCTACTGAATTGAATCAATAGACAATGGACAGACCAGCTGACAGCCCTTGGCATTTGCTGTGTACAGCCAATGAACACTGACTATATTACCAGGCCTTCAAACCTGAATCTTGACACCTGACAAGGTATCAAAACAAAGTTCAATGCAAAGTCGTAAGTTTGGACAAGGCCCAGACATTTATATAAAGGAAGTTAAGGGGAGCTGGAGAGATGGGTCAATGGCTAAGAATACTGACCGTTCTTGTAGAGGACTGGGACTCAATTCCTAGCACCTACAGGGCAGTCCATAACTCCAGTTCCAGGGGATTCGACGTCCTCTTCTGACCCCCATGGGCATTGCAAGACACTGTGTACTTACACACATTCAAGCAATACACTCATACACATAAAATAAAAATAATAAAATAGTAAAATAACTAAATAAATAAAATAAAGGAAGTTAAAGGAATAGGAAAGAAAGGAGAAAGAGGTGCTTTCAGTATAGAGAAGTATTTCATTATCTGACAGTAGCTTTGCAAAGCAAGTAAGGATGAAAAAGTGCAATAAATTCAAGAGGCAAGCTAGACTGGAATCCGAATAGAAGTTTGACTAGACAGTGGATGATACAGAGCTAGTGGAAAAGGCTGAGAAAATAGAGGGAAAAAGGTACCACCTGTACTTCATACCTGATGGCTTCAATTAGTAAAATGTAGTCATTCGGAGAAGGACATTGAGAGTCTGGTAAGCTACACTTTGTAAGTCAGTACTTTCTACCAATCAGGACCCTGTAAAGTACCTCTACGTTTAACTTACCGATGATCTAAAGTAACCTCTGTTAATTTAGTTTATCTACTAATATGAATAAGGAAAGTAAAGTACACGCCCAAAAGCTGTTTTCATGAGTAAACAAGTTGCTGCAAATAATGCAGTTATCTTAGTGTATCCTTACAATGAAATATCAATGTATTTGGTTGATATAGTATTATAACACTTTATTGTTATCTTTGGTATTGATCCTGCTGATAGTGTTATAAACTTATGCTCTGTTCCCAGTCAGTATAATCACTCTGATGTTCTGTTAGTCCATTCCTCACTTTCCATTGTCTATATTCTCTGTTTCTCAGGAATGTTTTTGCGTGTGCCCAAGGAGAGCAAATGGGATTAAAAAGAATCTCAACCGAGAATTTGCTTCACGTTTCTTTTTCTAATTTTCTTTTTCCCATTTGGTCTTATCTTCTCTGCTTCCCCCAAACAACACCACCACTCTATCTTTCCCCTTTAAAGATTTATCTGGTAGCTATATTGGTTTTGACACAACCTTGTCATGATTGGCTCATCAACTAACAAGCATTATTGGGGAATTTTATTAGTAACCAAATGTAAGTGAAGATGTAAAAATATATAAAGGCTTCTCTTAAGTGCCATGGCATGTCATATTTTCTGATTTAATCTTAATTTCCACCATGGACAAGCAAGCTGTAAAGAGATAAATCCCACAGGTTAGAACTTGATACACCCCCCATTCCCTTACCTCTAATTCCTCCCCTCTATTCTGGACCATGTCTTTTCCCTGTCAAGTTCAGGTGCTCTCTCTTTTGGCTTTAGTTTTTTTAATCTTGTGAGGAAAATTTGTAAATAAATTATTGCTGTCCTTTGGGATTCAGAATAACACAAAAGCCATGCACACCTTTAATCCCAGCACTGGGGAGGCAGAAGCAGACAGATTTCTCTGAGTTCAATGCCAGCCTGGCCTACATAGCAAGTTCCAGGCCAGCTGGGACTACAAGAGGACTTTGTCTCAAAAGAATCAAAAATAAAGACAAAACCTGTAGGAAAACAAGATGCCAGGCCCTAGGGTGAGGTGAGCCTAAAACTTATAGGTCCAGGCTGCATTCTCTCCTAAAAGGGAGTGACACTGAAAACAGTGGCTCTGATAATCCCTGCTTTGCAGAACACTGTTGGGCTGGCAGGAGGAAGCGGCCTGGTCATAAAAGTGCAGGCTCCCTGCTCTGTGGGAAAGCGTCTTGGTCAACAAACCTTAGCTCATCTCCTTGTCCTAAACAAATAACTCAGCTATCCCTGGCTAAGAGATTAGGCCAGGTTAAAGGTTTACTCCTGAGCTAAAAGCTAAAAGTTTACCATGCTTTTAGCTCTAAGAAAGAAAACATTGTGGCCAATAAATTACTGGATGGGCATTGGTAACCTTGAGTAAAAGTTTAAGAATCCTTCTGGCGCCAACTAACAGACTAAGTATCCTGTTTCTTTATACCCTAAATCTTTGTATGTGACTGTCATATCCCACGTGACTACTAGTTCCTTGGGATGTATAAAAACCATCTAAATTCTAAAATGAATTGTCCTGTTGGGAAGACACAGGTCCCAGAGTTTGACTCTGTCGCCGACCAGGCCCTCTGCCCCGAAGCCAGCAGGTCCCCCACTAAGCAAAGCAAACCTGAGTCCCCACAAAAACCACATGGAATTGGAGTAGATTTGCATTTTTTTCCCAGAACAACTTTCTGAGCTGCACTGAAGTGTATGCACTCTGAGTATGCACTGGAGTGGCTGTCCCAGTTGTGAACATCAGTGCTCTCATTTCCACTATCCAGCATCACTTGATAAGGACAAATGACTCCTTTATTCCAAAAATCTGCAGTTACACTAGAGGGACAGGCAAGGTAGCACATGCTTTAAATCCCAGCACTCGGGAGGCAGAGGCAGGCAGATCTCTGTGAGTTCAAGGCCAGCCTGGTCTACATAGTGAGTTCCAGGACAGCTGGGGCTACAGGAGACCCTGTCTCAGAAAGACCAAAAAAATACATAAAAATAAAAAGTAGAACTAGAAATGTTGTTCATGGCCTGAATATTTATATGACCTTGCAATTCATTCTCAGCAACATGAGAGAGAGAGAGAGAGAGAGAGAGAGAGAGAGAATGAGAAAGAATAGAGAATGAGAGAGAATAAAGTAGAATAACTGGGGAAAGATGGCACAAGCCAAAGGTTACTATGAAATAGCATCATTTACATCAGTGGAATGAACAGAC